GCCCGCCCGCCCGCCCTCCGAGCCCTTCCGGACGGCGTCACCTGTGCGGGTCCCGGCGCGACCCGCGCGCGGGCGGCGGCTGCGCCGGGCCGGGGAAACGGCGGCCGGTCACAGGCGCCCGATCATCCGGCCCGAGGGCTGGCGCCGGCCAGAGCGCCCGGCGAGATGCTGGCGGCCGGCGGGGCGGCTGCGGGCTCCGGGCCCCTGGAGGCGCAGTCCCGAAGGCTTCAGCGGCCGCCGTGGCCGCCGCGCCGCCCGGACTGCGGGCTCGGGTTACCGCAGAGCGGCTGCTTAAAGGGGCCGCGGCGCTGGCGCTCGGGCTCCCGCTCCCTGCGGCTTCGACCCCCCACCGGAGTGGGCGGGGCCCCGAGGCCGGCGCTGGGGCCGACCTTCGGGCGCCGGCACTTGGGTCCCGGAAGGGGCTCCAAAACGAGCGCACCCGAGTGGGCAGCAGAGGGACCCTGGAGGATCACGCCTCGCCGAAGGCGGAGTGTTTCGTGCGTTCCCGGGCTTTCCAGAGGAAGTCGCAAAACTTGGAAGTGGGGAGAACGGTGCAAGCCCGTCCCCGCAGCTGTCTGTACCTGGGCTAGCCACGTCACCAGCAAGCTTGTCAGATGATGAACTTCATTCTGCCTTAAATACTGAGCAAATGAACCGCAAGGTTTGGTCATCAAAAAGCGATGGAAAGGCAACTACTGAATTTTCTTGCCACATCTAGCAAGGCCAAAGTCGAGTCCGCCCAGTTGTTTGGGGCTGGAGGTGCCTACCACATAGGGGGTTTGTGTGGAAGAGGAGTGCTTTCTCTCCAACAACCTCCTCCGGAATTTCTGAAAAATACCTTCAGAAGTTGTGTCCATACTCCACCTGACAGAGTAGGCAGGTAAGGCTAGGGAAACTTCAGGGTCGAGGAAGGTTCTAAATGTATTAACCCGTGCTGCAGCCATTGCAAAGCTACACCTGCAAGCAGATGGCCTAACTAAAGGAAAATTATTGTGCCTAACTTGCACTTGCCTATACCTAAACCCTTATCAGACACACCTGCAGCAGTCTAGTCCTTTTATCCAGGATACTTACAGTGAAGAACAGACCACCAAGGCAGAAATAGCTTAGACACTCCTGGAGCATATGCATCAATAGCTAAGGCTAAGATAACCCTGATCCACTTTTACCTTCGTAATAGTTATATGCTCATTAGAATATGAAATTACACACTCTCCAACACCAGTTCTGACAGTTCTGACCCTGCCCATTCAGAGTAATAAATGGCCAGCACAAAATTCTAGGTATTGTCCACCTAGTTCTTAGAAAAATTCACCCCTTTAATAGAATAGTTCACATCTTCATAACTATAACTCACAAAAACCACAAGCCAAGGCCGCTAGCATGACACTTCCTTGTGTTCACTGCTTCACCCTGAAGTATGTACTATTCTGTTGCTTTCACTTTTAATAAACTGCTAACAGTCTTGCTACTTCTGACTGGCTCTGAAATTCTTTTCTGAAGCAAAGTCAAGGACCTAACACAGAACACTGGTGACAGACACAGAATCCCAAGAACAGATTTTTGGTGACTCCACCGGGACCTGGAAGTAAGACCTCCTCTGCCTCCCGTGAGTTTTGGAGTATTCACCTCCTGAGGCTGGAGTGCTCCAAAGTGCCTAACTTGCACTTGCCTACAGCTAATGTAGCTTATCTCTCATTTTCTCCCTGCTTGAGAAGACTTTCAAGTGGTTTCTTCTGTTTCTTTCTTGGTCTCCTCACAAACCTCCTGAGACACCTACAGTCAAACTCCTCTCAGCTTCAGATCCACTGCTCCTTCTGGTAGAGACTTCTTCTTGGTTCGCCTTGACAGATGGCTTGCCAAGTTCTTCCTGACAGGAGACACATGAGAGCAGTAAGTGCTCATCCCAATGCTGTGCAGTGTCTGGAAGTCTCAGAAGGTAGGAAGAATTTTCCTTAAACATCTCCTCTGTCTGCTGCCAAAGGATTTGGGCTTAATATTTCATTCCAGGGTAAAGACTACAGTCTTCCAACATCCCTCTGACCATCTCTAGTGTAATGGCTAATACTGCCCAAGGACATGGCGCAAGCAGCCCTGTCCTAGGTCAATTCTCCAACCTCCTCCCTGGGTCTGGTGCCCTCCTTATCTCAACTTACTAGATCCTCTCTTGTGAGTTGGTTAGACAATCTGGGTTGTTGGCTGTCTAAAAGGCAGAGTTATCACTGGATGGCAAGGATTCAGAGATCCTTGGTGATCTCTTGGTCCAGGTTCCTAGTGGCAGTCAACAGTGTATGGTCAGCATGCATCCATTTTCAGAGAACACAGGCATTCACCCTGGGTCCTCCATGGGCCCAGGAAGGTTTCATCCTTGGGGCTGCAGATACCAAGACCACATACAAGGCAGGGGACTCCAAGCCTTCCAGGTCAGACAAGAAGTCAGAGCTGTGGATGGGGACAGCCCAGATGACTCTTGATCTTTGAGGCGCTCAGATACAGTCAGAGGCAAGGGATGAGCCCTCCGTCTTCCTTCCTTTCTTTCTCCTTCCTTCCTTCCTTCCTACCTTCCCTCCTTCCTTCTGGGAGGGATATAATAAACCTCTCTTCATCTTTCTTTCTTTTCTAGATATGGAAGTCAGCTCATCCATTCCCGTGGATCCCCACTAGGTTGTCAATTAAAGCATTGGGACAGTCTGTCACTAGATAGCTTTAAGAGGAAAAAGATTATTTTATTTTGTGACATGGTCTGGTCTCAGAACAAACTGGAGAATGGAGAAACCTGGAAAATTAATGGAAATGTGAACTATGATACCCTTCTTCAACTGGGCCTCTTTGGCTAGAGGTAGGAAAAGAGGAGTGAGACTCCATATGTTCTAGCCTTCATGGCCTTTTACCAAAACCCAGATATAAGGGGGGTGAAATGCCACCTATGGATCATAAAGCCTAGATAGAAAGTTGAACCTGATATTCTAGATGACTTGCTCCTCATGCCCCTGTCCAGGAACCAGGTGAAGGCAGGGGCAGCAGCAGTGCAGGCCCTGAACAACTTGTATTCTGATCGGTTGTATCTGACTTGTATCTGACCCTGCGGGGTCGGATTTCTCAGGAAGTGCTTTGGAGGCCTCCCCTGCTCAAAGTGCTTCCCTTCCATTTCCCTCCTGCTTATTAGCCACCTGAGTCTCTGCCTCCAAGTCTTTACCCTAGCACTTGTAGTGGTGCTGCTTACAGCCCTTGTAGGACACCTATGCCCCCTCTGCGAAGTGCTGAATGGGAAGGAAGTACTCTTGGAGTTTATGTCCCCTTCTCTATAAGTGATCTGGGACTTTATAAAGAAAATTTTGGCAGGTTTTCTGAGAACCCTAGCAATTCATTGATGAATTTACAAAACTGACCCTGTCATTTGAGCTTATTTGGGGAGATATTCAAATATTATTCTTCACCTGTTACACCCCTGAAGAAAAGACCAGAATTGTGAGTACCACATTAGCCCATGCAGATGAGGTAGCAGCCTGGAATAAGGGGGTAAGTGATCCCTGACCTATCAGGAAGGCAGTGTGGATTTAGAAAGGAGAAATCATATGATAATCTGTTAATAGAAAGGAATAAGAAAATGTATGATCAAACCCATCAATTAAAACAAAATCAAGGAGATTACCCAGGAGGAGAATGTTCCAGGACAGAGTAATGGAGGCCCTAAAGAAAAATTCAAACATGGAGTCTGATTCCCCAGATAGGCAGATAGTTCTGAACACCCATTTCATTAGTCATTCTGCCCCAGACATCCACAGGAAATTACAGCACGTAGACATGGGACTACAGACTCCATTACCTTATCTTCTGAGCACAGCCATCTCAGTTTTCAATAATCAAGACTTGGCCAGGGAGGAAAAGAGAAAAGTCAAACTTTTGTCTGCAGCAATAAAAGGGCAACCACCTCAGGAAGGCCAGCCCAAAACCAAAGGGAGCATGCTATAATTGTGGAAAATCAAGTCACTGGAAGGGCAAATGCGCAAAATGGCCTCCACCATATGGCCCAGGCCCTAAATGTAGACAAGCAGGCCATTGGTAATGGGCCTGCCCCCAACTCTGAGGGAAGGACAGGACTGACCCCAAGATTCTGGCCATGTCTGACTGAAGGTACCCAAGGTTTTTGGCAGCTCCCCAAGGAACCATTGCTATAACCTATGGGTCACCTTGAGGTGGCAGGGCGGTGGGGGGCACTGCCCTCTTAATGCTATGGAAGCTGTCTTTTGTGTATTGCTTTCCTATCTTGGACCTTTATCTAAAAAAACCTTCTCAGTGATTGCAGTTGTCAGGAAGTCCCAGGTATGTCATTTCTCTCAGCCTCTTACTTGTACCTGGGAAAATTATAAGTCATAAACTCTTAACAATGCTTAAATATCTAATCTCCTTGTTGGAAAGGCAATTTCTCAAGGTACTGGGTGCCATCCTAGTCCTGCCAAAACATATCTTTTTGGTAATACCTGCAGGCCAAAATACCCCAGCCTCAATTCCTCTTCAGATCACAAAAAGAGTTAACTCTTTGGAATCATGGAGTTCCAGATAGAGCCATGACTGTAACCCCTATAAAAGTAACTCTTTAGGAAGGGTGAAATGAACAACTTTCCAGAAAGAAACGATTACCAATTAAAAGGGAAGTCCAGGAGGGCCTATAGACTATAAGCGACAAGTTATTAGAACACAATCTCCTTGTCCCACTCCAGTCTCCCTTTAACACCTGTATTCTCCCAGTAAGAAAACCAAATGAGGCCAAGCATGGTGGCTCACACCTCTAATCCCAGCATTTTGGGAGGCCAAAGCGGGAGGAATGCTTGAGCCCAATAGTTCAAGACCAGACTGGGCAACATAGTAAGACATCTTCTCTACAAAAATATATATATATTTAAATTAGCATGGTGGTATGTGTCTGTAGTCCCAGCTACTCAGGGGACTAAGGCGGGAGGATCACCTGAGCCCAGGAAGTTGAGGTTGAGGTTGCAGTGAGTCATGATCATACCACTGCACTCCAGTCTTGCAGACAGAATGAGACCCAACTCAAAAAGAAAAAAGACAATAAATAAAAAATTAGCTGGGTGTGGTAGCACGTGTCTGTAGTTTCAGCTACTTGGAAGGCTGAGGCGGAAGGATCGCCGGAGCCCAGCAGGTCGAGGCT